GGTCCCTGGTACAAAAAAGGTTGGGGACCACTGATTTACCTTATAAGTGGTAATAATATTAATAAAAAAAAAGTTCTGAGCTACCCTTATTTTGCTTCAAAGTTTTTATTTAGAAATTTAATTTTTTTTCCTGAAATTTCCCTCTTAAAATGAAGATGCGTGTTATACGCCTGTGCGTGTTATACGCCGATAAATACGGTAATTATTTTAAAAAATCTCCTTTCAATTTTCACCAAAAGACAGATTGAGGGTGATATTTTCTAGGAAACTTTGTATCTTTGGTGTATTGTTTATATTTCTCGCTCTTTCAAATTATACTCTTGGTAGTAAAATCGAGAATAGGCCAGAAAGCTTGAAATTATAGTATAACAAGTACCCTGAATGAACATTTGTAATGATGCATTAGTGCCATCGGAGACTACCTGGTCTAGAATTTATCTTATTGAAAGATAATGACAAATGGAACAAACAGAACGGAACTTATCAACGGAACAAAAATTAAGTAGTAATATGGGTAAAATGTAAATGGCAAAATGTATACAATCTACTGCAAAATGGTTGCATTTTTTGCTACCAAAAGAACATTTGATCAAAGCTTTCAATAAACCCAAGTGTATGTGAGATGCAAAACTGAGAAGTAATAAAAGTTTTTTGGAAGAGTGTAAATTAAAAGTTCAGAGAGGTTCCAGGATTAGAAGACCTAGATAGGGAGCAAATTTTTTTTTCCCTAGGAAAGTACCGTAACAGTATGCCTCTTTCATTTGTGCTTTGCAAATACCAGGTAAACTTATCTAGATAGCTTTGCAATGCTTTTACTCTCCAAAAATGCTTCTTGTTTCAGCTTTAAATCTGTAGAATGTGTGCTGATACAGGCTCCCACAGCCAAAATCTATGGATTTCTCACTTCATAGAACAGAGCTTGGTAATACTGGGATTAACCTAGATTTGTCTGTTCTTGGCAAGCCAAATCAACTTAATATAATGTATTAGATGGCTTCTAATACTTAATATAAAATTATCTTTGGCTTTTTTTAACCCTTTATTGCTGGTATATTTTAAATTTAGATTTTTTTAAATTAATTTCATTTTGAGAACAATTTGTAACTGGTGTGTGTGCCTCTGTGAATATCTTTGCAAAATATTGTACTTGCTATCAGTAATATATATTCCTTTCTGTAGTTGGTCCACCGTACTGTCTTCATCTTCGTGTAAAATTTTACTCTTCCGAACCAAACAACTTACGTGAAGAGCTCACAAGGTACGTTGTATGCAAGGAGGAAAATTATAAATCATATAGAAAAACTTTGATAATCTGTATTTGTAGCTCAGTATATAACATTCTAATCTGAATATGAATGTTGCAAGGTTCCTAGTTTTTGAATAGTTAAATAAAAGTTGGATACTCATATTATGCCCCCAGACCAGGGACTAGAATACAGTGAAAAGGTAGGAACAAATACATACGTTAAATATCAGTGAAATGTATTCAGTTTTGTATCCAGTCCTCATAGCATTCCCATTCTATTGAGAAAAATGTATGAAATGAAGTTCTACCGAATGAATATTTTATAAAAGATTTTGGAACTTTTCCAAGAACTCTGCTTTGGGATTGCTTTGAATGATGAAAAAGTAGGGGGAGGGGAATTAAAAATAATCACTTCTTCCTATTCTCCCATTTCAGTATTACATCCCAGGAAAATAGGAAACTGAAATTAGAAAATGAGTATTCCTCAGTCAGAATTTTATTCTGTGATAAAACAGAATTAGTCTGTTCCTTGTTTCTGTGATTTCACTGAGAATCCTTCCTGCTTTATCTGATCTTTATAAATATTATATGTATAGCATTAGTTTGTTTATTTTCCTGATTCATTTTAAAATATTTATAGTCTATCTAGTATCCAGAGAATTTGCAGAAAACTAGTTAGATCAACTTGGTCATGGCGCCTGGTATCATTATGGATAAATTTTGGCTGTCTTGACCTGACCTTGGCAACAATTCCTAGCTTTTTCAAGGTCATGGTGACCCTCCTTTATCAACCTTCATTCTTACACCCCCCCCCTTTTAAAATATCTCAACCTTTCTAAGCTAGTTCTGTTTTGTGTGTGTGTGCTTCTCCCAAGATGTTAATTTCTGCTTGCTGACCTCAAGCAATCTGCCAGTCTTTTTTATCCAGAAATAATTGATTGACTCTTCTTGCAGTTGCTAGTAATCATCTCCAGATCCATACACTGAATGCATCTGTCTTCTTTCTGTCACTCTTTTTCAGTGATCAGTTGTCACAACCATACTTCAACACTGGTAAACTCTTGCATTAACTATTCTAATCTGTATTGTCATAGAGATATGACAATAATCTATCATGATCAGATAAGATCATTATCTTCATACCTATCTACAGCATACTGTCTGTCCCTTGAAATTAAGAACGTGAAACTATGTATATACTACTAAAACTCCTGTGATTCTTTATAACATCATTTGGGTGAAATCTTAGGGAAAGTTTTTTGAATCAACATCCTTCAAATGGACTAAATTAAAGAATGTGTCTAAAATTTTGGACCCGTTACCATCATAGGATTAAATTTTGGCAATTTTGTGGCTGCTTCAGTGTTACCGTGTTGCCACAATCACATGACTATTATTTCCAAGGTCCCTACCAGCTTCCCACCAGGAAAGTCAATAAAGAAGTCAGACATTGCACACTGCCCCCACCCCCGCTCTTTTGTCCACCCATTATAATTTTCTCTGCTTAAGTAAGGAGATATCTCTGATACAATGACCCATTGGGTCATAGGCTATCTAATGTACTGCTATTACTTTGCCATAAACAGCAAGTATGTTAAACATACTGATTGGCATTAACCCAGACTTTTCAGCTTCCATTTTTATTTTCATAATGAGCTCTCCATTTTGTCTTTGTGTCAGCTTATTTTATTTTGTTTTAACTAACAATGTGGTATTGTCTGCATATCACAGATTGTTAGAGCTTCAACCTTCAGTTTTGATTCCACTTGCCATCTCTTCCAACTTTGCCATTGACATAATATGTTCCCTGTGTAATTTCAACAGATGGAGGGACAATATGCATCCTTGTCTCATTCCCTTCCCTATTCTGAACCACTCTGCTTCTTCACGCTCAGTTCTGACAGTAGCTTCTTGTTCTTTTGAGGAGTAATTAATTGTTCTGGTTCACCCATTAGCCCAATATATTCGGCCACTATCTATGCAATCAAAAGCCTTGCTATAGTCAGTAAAGCAGAGATAGAAATAAAATTCCTTTTAAAAAGTCCTTGCTCTCTCTATTATCTGTTTTGTGTTTGCTATCTGATTGATAATCCTTTGCCTTTGTGAAGTCTTCCTGTTTGTTTGGTGTTTTACTCTTCATGTATAGTTTTATCATTATGTAAGGTCTTAAATAAAATTTTGTTCGCAGGAAGAATTAATGGAAGTTTCACATTTTCTAGCATCTTCTTTTCCAATCTCTATGCATCTCTATGGAAACAGGTTAAAGTCATCACAATTTCCCCTGCACTTGTAACCGCTTGTTTCTGGTTCTGTTGTTACCTTAAAATCTACTCACACGAATTTCAGATACAACATTCTTTCCATTCTCACTCAGCTTAGTGGTACATCCCAAATCCAGCCTTTTCTTCACTAGAAGAAGTCTTCTTAAAAATATCTTGTTCTTTTTGTTATTATTTCCTTTTAGTTATTACTATTTGGGATAGATATATCTTTCTTTTTCCATTCTTGCTTCATTGGAAGTTGTGTTCAGTCATTCCAGATCTTCCTTACTGATGAAAACTTTCATCCTCTTGTTTTCTCTGGTTATTACAATATCTTGTTCTAAATGCCACTTGGATTTTTTGCAATTTCAGATTCATTTATACCCCCAATATTTGTATTCCAATCATGCATGAATAGTAATCCTTACTTCTAGGTGATGCTTTTGACATATATTTGCAGTTTGGTATAGAATTTTTCCAGTGTTGTATCATGTTGCATTTCTAGCTGGGGTGAATATAATCAAAATAATGATGTTCAGTTGATATGCATTAATTCTAATAGATTCTGTGTTGGTTGTGATAAAGCTAAATAATGATGTTCTTTTTGGAATATTAGTACTGCTCCATTCCATTATACAGTTTCATTCTTAGAATATATAAATTAATCCTTTTCGGTACCTCTTAAGAACATTTATTCCTAAAACGCATTAAGAAGCATTAAAGTCCTAAACTGTTCAAAGCCTTAAATATTTATATTCAAACAATCCTTGCTTTCTCAGTAATATTTTTCTTGCTTTTCCCTTTTAAAACAGATATTTATTTGTTCTTCAGCTAAAGCAGGACATTCTGAGTGGCAAGTAAGTACGATTCATAATTACACTGACTATTTAGTTCACACAGCTTGCTGAATCTTGAGTTGGACTTACTGCAGTGTACATACCTGATCTATATGTAAATTGTTTAGTCACAACTTTAATAGCTTCCTGACTGTCATCAGAGTAGTAGGAGGCACCCAGATCTCTGGGAGTCAGGGACATCCTTTTATTCCAGGTTTTATTTCTAAAGCTAACTCACTATCCCATTTTGGATTACCATTTTTATTTCCTAACCCTACCCCAAACTAGAAAAAGCTGTCCATTGTTAAAATTTGTAGATATTAGTAGTAGACTCTTAGCTGGGACTGCTGTCTTTTGTGGAACCCAAAGAGCTTCTGTTTACAGTCAAGGCCTTAGGAACAATTTTCCTTTGTGAACCAAATGCTATTCTGCAGTGATACATTGTTATCAGGTAGTTCAGCTCCTTGATCATTGCCCTTGTGCTCTTGTATATCTGTAGCCTGCTAGACCTGGGTAGACAGTCTGTGTTGTCTTGGCCATCTACATTGGTCATACATTACAATTTGAATATTCAAGCAAGAATAGCCATTGAAT